TTTTGTGATTTCATGAAACAAAAGTTTTTAAAATATTATTCACATATTCCGCATATATATGGTATTATATTTGTTCTTGATCCTCATTATAAACTTGCTTACTCGGCAAATTGTATAGATTACTATTATGCTTCTTTTTTTCCAACTCAAGAGTTCGATGATAATCCCATAGATCCTAAACAAGAATACAACGAGGTTAGTAATTTATTTCATCAATTGTATAATGAATTTCATGCACAATATGGTAATGCACCCCCTCCCATGCCGCGAACATCTTCTTCATCTAAAAGAAAATCACTTTTAAAATCTGCATTAGGTTCTGTTTCGAAAAAAAGTAGAGCAACTCCCACTACTGAACAAAGCTCAGTTAACGAGCTTTCTTTGTATCTAACATTGAATGTTGATTATAAAGTTGGGGATGACTTTGACGTTCTTAAGTGGTGGAAGGAAAATGAAAGAACGTTCCCGGTTTTATCAAAGATGGCTAAGCAAGTGCTAGCAATGCCGATATCACAGTTGCCGTGGAACAAGAATTTAGTGCGGCCGACAACGTCCTAACCGATTATAGAACGAGGTTAAGCCCGAGCTCTCTTGAGACGCTAGTTTGTTTACACGATTGGTTGAAGGCCCAACGAAGAACTCAAGAAATGACCATCGCTCCCACCCGCCACTTTATGGAGGAAACAACCACTGAAGGCGGAGATTCCGATTGATTATTTATTACAAAATGTATTACATTTATTAAATTAATTCTAATTCTCAATTGTACTTCTTATTTGAAATAAATATACTTGAATTTTTTATATTATTGTGTAAATCAATTCAAGAATTAAAAAAAATTACAAAGCCCCGAACCGGACCGGCCCAACCCGGTAAACTGCAGGGTGGCCCGGCCCGACCCGGAACCGCCGGCCACCCGGCCCGGCCCGGCCCGGCCCGGGTCACATATAACTGGTTCGGGCTTTGACCTGGACTGGGGGAGTAGGGCGGTTCGGGCACGGTTCATGAATTTAGAGGCCCGGCCCGGCCGGTTCGGGCCCGGTCCGGGCCTAACGGCTATCTTAAAAAAAAATTGGCCAGCTAAACAGGCCTTATAGCCGATGCATTTCAACCCAAACGGCTCTATAGCCGTTGGGAGCCTGCCAGGGGGTCCCGGGGTGGGGTGGGGGGTGGGGGTGGGGGTACTAAAAATCTATAAATACTCCATTTTTTCTATACAATTTACTACACATCTTCTCCAAATATTCCTACTCTCTAATCTCTATTCTCTACTAATCTTCTCCATCTTCATCTTCTCAAATTTATAACTACATATATTATATTTATAAAATTTATTATCTACTTATATTAATATCTACTTATTATATTATTGTTACTTGTATTTATTTACTTATAATATCTAATTTATTTACTTATATTCACATATTACATATACCTAATATATATATATATATATATATATATATATATATATATATTAAAATATTATATATAAGTGTATTACTTATCTTATAGTAATATACTTATATTATATATACTATAAACATAATATTATATATTACTAGTTAATCTACTTATTATCTACTTATAAATATATATATTTAGTATATCTACTTATACACTTATTATCTACTTATCCAATTGCTTATACACTCTCACACTCCGATTAATTTTGTTTACACACTCATACATTCTTTATTAATATAAAAGTAGTTAATTGTTTCACTTATCATTTTAGTATTAGTTCATTGCTATAAAAGTAGTTAATTGGTAGTTGTTAGCTTATTGGAAATAGTTACATTAAAAATTGTTAGACAATAATTCGAAATTAATTGTTTACTTGTTAAACTAGTTAATTGTTACATTTCTTAATCTCCTATAATAGTAGTTAATTGTTACATTTATTATTCTCCTATCAAACTAGTTAATTGTTACATTTATTATTCTCCTATAAATTTCATTGCATTGTTCCATTTATTATTCTCCTATCAAACTAGTTAATTGTAACACTTAGTATTCTCCTATTAAACTAGTTAATTGTTAATTATATTAAAGTTGTTCGAATTTTATAATAAAAGTAGTTAAACTTGTTAACTTTTTATTTATTTATTTATTATTTGTTAACAAATAGTTCGAATTTTATTGCATTGTTACATTCTAGTTAATTTAATTGTTCGAATTTAATTGTTACATTCTAGTTCGAATTGTTAGATTTGTATTTCAAATTCACTAGTTTAATTGTACCTCGCATTTAATATTTGTTATATTTTTAAGATGGAACGTGATAGAGCTTCTGTAGATATGGGTAACCTCCACAGCAACCGAACAAAGGAGATTGCGAGGAATCATCCAAGCTTATGCAAAGGTAAGGGACGGGCCGGGTCTTCATCTCAAACCCGAGATGATTTTGATGCGAATTATAACCAAAGATATGGGGATGCGATGTCTGATGAGCAATTAGAACAACTATTGCAACAAAATCAAGGGGCCTTCTTCCATCAACAAAACGTCCCGACCATTGACGAAGAAGAGCTCGAGGATGATGATGCGGAGGAGAGGGATCCGCAAACGGTCGAGCACGAGGTTCATGGCACACCGGACGATGATGAAGAGCAAGCGGAAGTGGCTACTCTTCCCAAAGCGGTGAGAAAGCTGAATCAGTCTTTAAGGCAAATTTTACAAAATATAAAGACCCCGAAAGCGAGATATGGTACGCCACTTGCAAGCATTGCCCAAAAAAGTATAAGTTGGGAATTTCTGGAGGGTACAGGAGCGCCACAAGGCATCTTAAGGCCAAGACCCGGCAGAATATGCGAAATCGAACAAAGGCAAGAGAAAGCAAACACAAATTTCAAGGTTTGCAACTGGCCAACCCTTCGGTAATTTCTCCTATGATGATCAAAGACATTTGACTGGTATGTCACATTTGATTGTTGAAGAAAATTTGCCTTTTATTTTTCTGAAAGTCATGCTTTAAAAGAATATGCTCAAGGTATTTTAAATCCTCAATTTCGAAACTATAGTCGCAAAACAATTAAAAAAGAAGTTATAAGGCAATATATTTTGGAAAAGGAAAAATTACAAACATTTTTCGCAAACTTTGATGGACGTATTAGTATATGTAGTGATATATGGGAGGATACTCATCATCATTTATATTATTTGGGTTTGACTACACATTATATTGATGATGATTGGTATATGCATAAACGTGTTCTTGCTTTTCGTGAATTTAATGATCGACACACCGGTGTTAATATTTATATTCTCATTGAGCGTATTTTAATTGAGTATAATTTGATTAATAAGGTGTTTGCTATTGGTTTTGATAATGCTACTAATAATACTGCCGCTATTCCTAGATTGCGTGAATTGTGTGGTTCATCTTCTTTGATGGGTAGGTTTTCATCAGCGTTGTGCATGTCATATTTTAAATTTATGTGTAAAGGATGGGCAAGCAGCGTTGGGAGATGCTATGGAGGTGGTGAAGGGGGGGATTAAACTTATTTGGGCTAGTAATCCACTTAAGATGCAATGGAGAAATTATTTGAAAGAAAGACGTGTCAAATATTGTGTTTTTCCTAAAGATTTGTCTATTCGTTGGAATAGTACTTATAACTTAATTAAAGTGCTTATTAGATTTAAAAACCATTTTCCTGCTTTTTTAAAAGAGTATGCTAACTATATTATAAACCCGATTGACATCGACACTTGTGAAAAAATTGTGAATGTTTTGGTATATTTTAATAATGCAACTGAAACTTTTAGTCATGTTTATAAACCTACCGCAAACTAATTTTTTGTTGAAGCTGTTAATCTCGCCGGCGCTTTTTCTGAATTTTCTGATGCCGCTTATGTTAGTTATTTTTGTGACTTCATGAAACAAAAGTTTTTAAAATATTATTCCTATATTCCGCATATGTATATAGTATTGCATTTATTCTTGATCCTCGTTTTAGACATGCTTCTTTGGAGCAATGTTTAGATTACTATTATGCTTCTTTTTTTGGTCCATTGCCTATATACAACGACAAGGCCATAGACCCTAAACAACAATTCCAAGAGGTTAGTAATTTTTTATATCAATTATTTAATGAAACCCCCCCTCTCTCCCACCACGAACATCTTCTTCATCTAAAGGAAAATCAATTTTCAAATCTACATTTGGCAATCTTATGAAAAAATGTAAATCAACCCCGGTTAATGAACAAAGCTCGATCATCGATCTTTCTCTGTATCTAACATTTCCTGTTGAGTATGAAGAAGGGATGATTTTGACGTTCTTTAGTGGTGGAATGAAAAAGAGAGAACGTTCCCGATCTTATCAAAGATGGCTAAGCAAGTACTAGCAATGCCGGTATCAACAGTTGCTGTGGAACAAGAGTTTAGTGCGGCCGGCAACATCCTAAGGGATTATAGAACGAGATTGAGCGCAAACCCTCTTGAGACACTTGTTTTCTTCCACGATTAATCGAAGGCCAAACGTAGAACTCAAGAAATTAGCATTGAACCCACCCGCCACTTTATGGAAGAAACAACCGAAGATGGCGGAAATTCTGATAGATTCTTATTTATTATAAAGTGTATTTCATGTTTTAATTTTTGCTCAATTTTCAATTGTACTACAAATTTCAAATAAATATATTTTAACTTTTTTATGTCCAAGTTATCTTAATTTAATATTTAAGCAAAAATAAAATTAAATAGCCAGAGCCCGGCCCGAACCGGCCCCCTACCCGGCCGGGTAGGCCCGACCCAGACCCGGCATCACCCCAGGCCGGTTCCGGGCCTATGTTTCTTAAAAAAAGCCCGTCCGGACCGGACCAGGTCCAACTCTAACTGTAACGGTGAGTAATAAAGTATGCTTATTACTTGCTCCGTATTAGTCAAATTTTTTGAAATCTTAAAAGGTCAATACTTGTGAACGAGTTACAAGTCTTAGAACTAGAAGCGCATGTTCTTTTTGCCAATGGTTATATTATATTATTATGTATCCTACCAAAAAAATTGATGAGCATTTGTAATAATCCTATAGGAAAACATCTTTTGAGAAACATAAATATTTTATTATTAATTTATCATAAAAACAACATCCAACCTTTGATCATAAAATAATTTAAGAGCGAAACTAAAAGGGATACAAGGAGATCAATGGTCCACATTTTTTTCATCCACACTTCTCTCGCGGAGAACATAAAAATAACTTACTGATATAAAAATCCTCTTTAGTATCGAAACGAGATATGGTGCCACTTTTCATATTTCAAACTACTCTTACACGGTACACAACCACGACCTGCAAGGCTGCAAAAATAAGAGCCAAATTACTATGCAGATTTCACACTTCAATGAAAAACGTTCTTACATTCATGGGTATAACGTTTATCATGGGTATATAGCTTCATGCTACACAAAGTGCATACTCCCTCCGTCCCATTTTACCTGTCCTACTTTCTTTTTTGGCTTGTCCCAAAATAAGTGTCTTCTTTCCTTTTTTGGAAACAAATATGTGGTCTACACCATTTCACTTTATTCTACTCAAACCTCAACCAAAACTTTTACTTTTTCAACCACTTCATTAATAATCGTGCCAAGTCAAACTAAGACACATAAAATGGGACGGAAGTAGTATGTAGTGGGAGTCGCGTACACATTCACTCGCTCATGGACATTCAATAGATCAAAGATGGAGTAAATAAAAGAACACCACTACATGTGCAGTGTTGTGCATGCACAACTAGGGACGGACCCAGAAATTCATCTTGGAGGGCGGTAATTTAAACAAAATATTTTTTGGGAGGATGAAAATTATTTTTCATATATATACAATTAAAAAAATTGTTGTGGGGGGGCGGTCCCCTGGATCTCTACTATGGTTCTCTACTATGGTCCGCTCCTGTGCAAAACAAATCACTATTTTGTACATTGGGTTGGAGATCTGAGAGTAAAAATATCAAAAATAAAAAAACAAATAAAAAGTAAGTGGCAAAAGATAATTAAGTACTTCTCACACAACATTCAATTGAAAAGTGCACATCATGAGAAACAAAAATGCAATGCAATTCGAATAAATTGGATTGTTTTTTTCATAATGATTTTTCACTTGAAAGCATCTGTTAACTTGCAATATCGCATATGTGTATGTGATTGGGTTGGTATATATTGAACATTTGTGGTTAGTGTACTTGAAAGCAGGGCCTAGTCTCAACCATAGCTATGGGTACTATATGCAGTTCAATTCACATTTTCAACACGAACACATATGTGTATTGGAAATAGAGAAAGAGAAGAGGTGTGCAACTCATATAACTGATGCTCAACTCAATGTTTCCTGTACATTCTGAACCCCTTTTCTTTGGGTGTCTTATATACACTTACATTTCACCCAAAAAAATGCTCAACTCAATGCATTTTAATACATATTATACAAGAGCACGGATAAAGATGAACTTATAGGCTGTTCAAACAGACTGGAAACTTAAAAAAATATAAAGGTTTTTCAATGCATTTATTGAGCTCCCTCAGTCCCAATTTGATTTACAAAATTTCGTATTTTAGTTGTCCCAAAATGATTTTCCACTTTCTGTTTTAGATGAAGAAAGTGACAAACTTGCATCTCTACTTTTACCCCTATTCAATTTACTTCAAGGTCTCCGCTTTATGGAAGATACGACAAAATAGTAGAGCCAAACTTCAATTATAAACTTCCTCAACTCTTGGTGCCATTCAACTTTTGCAAATCAAATTTAGAACATAAATAAAATGTGACCTGTAGGGCATGGGACACTGAAAAAACTCAAAAAGAATATAAAGGCATGGTCTAATGGAGTAAAGCAATTGAATGTTGAAACTCCCGTCCTACACAAAATAAAAAGGTATGGCAAACAATTCTACTGAAAAGTAGTAATGATGGGTTTTTACACAATGGAATTAAGTACAAGTTCATGAACAAACCTCTTCAATACGCTCCCTTTCTTTGATCTAAAGATTTTTTCCCTTTCCGTAATGCATCCTCTCTGCTTTGTCCTTTCTCTTTCCTTTTCCATGTGCCCCCTCCTGCATCATGCATATAACCCAGTTAGCACTTTACAATTGTATTTCACATACAAAGAATATCAACATGGCAAATATTACCGTACTCACAGGGTAATTTACTTTTGCCGACACCAAACAATAACATGAATTCTACGTGTTATATCTCATTTGTTAGTAGAACAATGTACTACTCACCTATCAATATATTGCTTTTATGTCATGTATATAAAGTTTGAATTTATAGAGTACAATTAATCATATACTCCCTCCTTCCCCCTTATGTTGTCCCGTTTTACTTTACCTTTTCGGGAAGTCCCATTAAAATTGTCCCATACCATATTTGGTAAAGTTTTTGTGGCTCTAAATCATTCTTACTTTATTCTTACTTTATCAATTAATATCAACCACACAAACTCACTTTTCTTAATAACCGTGTCACCTTCTTCCGTCCCAATATAAAAGGGACGGAGGTAGTACATCTTTACTCAAGCTGTGAAGTTCAAATAACTAAATAGGCATACACATACTGTTCAAATACTTCGCACTCTGAGAAAAAGAAAAGAAAAACTCATGTCAAAAGCAAAGGATTAAATACCAAGTTCAGGAATTGACCAAGTTCAGGATGCAATGTAATTTCTCCCATAACACGACCAATGTTAGAAAACTCCAACTCTAGTCTTACAGATCACAGAATTGGTTCAAGAAATATCTCAAAGGCAACTTTTATTCTCAAAGGCAACAATGGCCGAAGGCCTAAGGCAACAGACTGCGTACAGTTTACAAAATCAAATTCAGCATGCCTATTACAATCTCCAATACTACTATTTATAGTAGGATGTTCTAGCTACCGGTAGTTATTCGTATTATAACAAACTAACTAATAACCAACCCTCCTCCTTCTATAATAGACCTTAGTAAAAAACTTATTTAATAAAGTCTCTATCAAATCTCCCCTCCTGAACATCCACCTGGCCCTCAAGGTGGGCGATAGGTAGCAGCCAAAAGCTCCTTTTTCTTCTTCATCCTAGCGCTCCTGCCTTCCCAATATTTCACAAATTTCTGAAAGAGAAACTTCATTACTCGGTCTTGCCAATTCACAGACGTCTCCTGAATATCCCTGCTATTGTGAGGCAACCCAGGAACTGAGCCACCGTTTGTGTATGAAGATACAAAGTCGGCTTCTTCCTTGGTCTGGATATTAAAATCAATAGTCTCTTGTTCCATGTTCTTCCCCTGCTCATCCTCTTTACAATACAGTAGATGCCCCTCCACAGTTGGGTGCAGAATCTGTGCATTGATTGTTCTAGAAGTCTCGTTTTCATTTAGAGCTATATCCTCTTTTATGAAACAAATCTGACTCCCTTGCTTCCAAATGATGAACTGGTGTTTGAAGTTGATTGCCATATTTCCCAATTGAGATAACCATTCCATGCCTAGCACCAATTCTGTCCCTCCTAACTCAAGGATGTAGAAAACTTGTTGTATTACACTCCCTTGTACATCTAGTTTCAGCCCCATACATCTGCCATTATTGGGAATTAACTCCCCATTACTAGTCTGGACCCTATAACCTTTTATTTGATGGTAAGGGATTTTATACTTGTCCACCAATTTCTGCGAAATGAAATTGTTAGAAGCACCACAATCAATGAGAATATTTACTGGTTTCTCTCCTGTATACCAGCTTAGTCTTCCCATTACTTCAAAAGTTCTCACAGGCTGTATACCATCATTGTTGAGCACAGACAATTGCAATGATTTGAGTTCAGGGTGAGGTCCCTCTTCTTCAGAACTGCTGCCCTCCATCTCAGTTTCTACCTCTCCTTCGGAATGTTCCATCAAAACCATTCTAAAATTTTTCATCTTACATATATGCCCCCTGTTCCAGTTTTCTCCACACTTGAAGCATAAGCCTTTCTTACTCCTTTCCATCAATTCTTGTTGGGATAATCTGGGGCCTATTTTTCCTGAACTGGAACCTTCACCAGACTCCACAATTTTGTTGTCAATACTAGTCTTCCCAGCAGAGTGTGTAAGAATTGGATTACTGCTACTTCTAATCCCTTCTTCCCATTTAAGATAACTGCTTCCTTTAGTTGCAGTGTTCTTCCATGATCTTTTTCCTTCTTCTTTATCCCTTCTTGACAGTATTTCTTCATTCTTATCCTCAATCACTTGTGCCTTATCCATTATTTTCTCCAGATCTTTGGTCTTATAAAGCTTCAGTTCTGCTCTTATATCCTTCTTTAACCCATTCAGAAATATAGCTCTCATTACCTTTCTGTCCAGATTTTCTTGAGAAGCAATAGCTTTTTCAAATTGTTCTCTGTACTCTTGTACAGAATTTCTTTGCTTCAGACTCAGCAAGGGCCCCAATGGATTTTGAATGAGCTCAGGTTGAAATCGCCTAATCAGTGCTTTCTTGAATTTGTCCCAATTCCTTTCTCTGGCTTGTTTTTCCCACCATTGAATCCATCCCAGCGCTTTACCTTCCATGGAAACTACTGCCACTTCGATTTTTTCTTCCTCTTATGTGTTATTGAGGCGAAAGTATCGTTCGATCCTCACAAGCCAGCCAAAAGCGTCTTCACCTTGGAATAGAGGTAAATCAACCTTCCTGTGCGTCTGATGGTGTTGGCGAGGTTGATGATGTAGTCGAGTTGGTGAGTACTCCTCATGACTATCTGAGCTATCGGAACTGTCCATCGATCGCGTCGAGTGATGATGCGCTGAAGGTCGCGTTGAATGATGCGATGAAGGTCGCGATGATGGATGCGATGTGCGATGCGAAGAATGACGCGATGAAGTTGATGCGTGCGATCTACTCCTCGATCGACTTTTGTCCCTCGCGTCCAGCCTTGCTAGAATCGTAGCCAACAACTCCTTCGTTTCTTGACGGTCTTTCTCCAGTTCTTCTATTCTCGCTTCCATTTTTCCTCGCGTCCAAACCATTAACTAGATCAACTGGCTCTGATACCAATGTTAGAAAACTCCAACTCTAGTCTTACAGATCACAGAATTGGTTCAAGAAATATCTCAAAGGCAACTTTTATTCTCAAAGGCAACAATGGCCGAAGGCCTAAGGCAACAGACTGCGTACAGTTTACAAAATCAAATTCAGCATGCCTATTACAATCTCCAATACTACTATTTATAGTAGGATGTTCTAGCTACCGGTAGTTATTCGTATTATAACAAACTAACTAATAACCAACCCTCCTCCTTCTATAATAGACCTTAGTAAAAAACTTATTTAATAAAGTCTCTATCATGTTTAAAGATGACTTTAATTTCTGTTACTCTTATACCCCCCTTTTGAAGCAATTAAATCAGATCAATCCAGAATATACTTTTTATCTTTAATCCTGGTTCCCACTTCAATCCCCAACTCTCTTTGTCTTCAAATATCTTCACTGATCAGATGTTGGCAATCAATCCTACGGCCTAAAGAATGAAAGAACATGAATGAGATGAAAATTACTGGTTACTCCTTGGTGGTCATTGCTTACAGAAGACTGATTTGCCTTGCTTGCTTCAAATTTACGCTCCCCGCTTGTGAAATGTATTTGACAATGAGATGCCGCTGGGTAATACTCCCTCCGTCCCGGATAAAACTTGACGTTTGCTTTTGGCACAGTATTTTATGAGCTCCATTAATGGAAGAACAAATGTCTAGTATGCCCTTTGACTTTTGGGGTGAGTTAATGATATCCACTCAAATGTAAAAAGTGGGTTGGTAGTGAAGGATAGTTAAGACATTTAATGTAAAAGGTGTTGCCTAAAAAGGAAACGTAAAGGAGTAAATGGGACGTCCCAAAAAGGAAAGTGTAAAGATTTAAATGGGACGGAGGGAGTAGCATTGATTTTTCATCTTTTGATTACTACCTCAATCTTGTTTGTATTTTTTTTGTTTCATGTTAGCCAAATTTTGGGAATAAGGCTTGGATGTTGTTGTTGTTTCATACTAAGGCTTAGAACTTGTTGTCCAGAGTCTAGTGGTGGAGGCTGAAGGGCAGAGGGTGGACTGAGAGCTTCATTGTGGTGGCCTTTGAATGTAATTCATTTTCTGTTTGGTTGTATTATTTATAACAGTGAATTATTTTAATTCAATACAATTTTTATCCTATGAAACTAGTGGTCTTGTAGAGCATATGTCATAAATTTTACTCCTACTGGTGGGAACTCTCTTTAGAAAAACAGCATGTGGTTGAGAGACAATGTTCATCATCATCATCATTACAGGTGGGGTAAGGGGGGTCGGATGTACGCAGTCTTTCCCCTATACTAAAGCACAAAGAGACTATTTCTGAATGACCCGTAGTGAAAAATGCGTCGAAAATTGCATAGACTGACTGTTCATAACAAAGAAGCACAGACAGCTTAGCGAGACATTTTGCTTTATTCCATCATATTCTCAAGCCACAAAAAGTGAGTCTTTGGCTCCATTGAAGATGATGGAAAGTGATTGAGAGACAATGTTAAGATATCTTTTTTTGCTACATGATGAACAAGACAGAAAATCAACAAGATGGAAAATCAATTCTTGAAAGTGTAGTAATAGTAGAATAGGAACCATTAATGTGCATCACATGGATGACTCTGATGGTCCGCCAAAATCAACCATGCTTCCATGGCTGAGTAATGAATTTAGAATGTGAATTACCAATGATTAAAAGGTTGAATAGCATGTCCAAACTCTTAGGGAACTGTTTTCCATTTTACATTATGTCCCATCACCAAATACAAAACCCACTTTGGTACGAACTAGTCAAAAGAACAAGAGAATCTATAAACAAACATAAAGAAGCAATGATTTATCAATCAAAACTGGTACTTGGAGGGGTAAGAAAATAAAAAACATCGTGAATTTCTATGCAACTTAGAAATCAGGGACCAGCTCTACTTCACCTACATACATATTATATTACACACAAATAAGGGACCAGGACCAAATTACATATTACATATATGATTATATATGACTATGTTGATAAGTGTGTTGAACATGTTTGGGCCAAAATAAGGTTCAACTGTTAATCGATAAAGCCTCTAAGGAGTAAGGACCCATCATTTCATTCATTGTAGTGATGGCATCATATAACATGAGTGGATATATGGTTTAATAAAAATCTATACTAATAAATATGAGAAGATTATATTGTTCATGTTGGTTAAGTGTATGAGATAGACTTCAAATGAGATCCATCATTTCATTCATTGTAGTGATGGCATCATAACCCGATTATATTGTCTACTATGGGACCTAAGTGTACGAGATAGACTTCAAATGAGATCCATCATTTCATTCATTGTAGTGATGGCATCATATAACATGAGTGGATATATAACACACAATAAACACGAAGAAAATAGCCTCTAAGGAGTAAGGACACAGCCTCTCAAAAGGAGTAATCGTTAAGCAATTCCACTTATGCCAAGTGGCAAGTGATTTTAATTAATTAGTCCAATAATCTAGAAACAAGCTTTATGGGTGCAAGGGATCATTTGTAACTTGTAAACATGTGTACCTTTAGTGAGATTACTAAATAAATGTTGCACCCTATTTAAACTGGATCCTATTTTTGGAGCAGAGGGGAAGTATTTTTTTTAGGGAAGTATAACCAAAGCAAATAATGAAATAAATACCTCTCCTCAAACTTCCAGGTTGCATGTCACCAAGAATGCGATCAATGCTCCACTCCGTATATCCCTTAATCGGTGTAGTATGGGGGAAAAGAACTTTGACCACACCTACTTTACCATATTGAGCTGCCACCTGTATTGGTTTCCTTGGTTTCCAAACATCCTGCAGATTTCATACAAAGTGAATCAGAGTATCTACTTACACGTCTTTATGTGACCATTGACCAATCATCGTACACTTTGAAGAGTGTATAGTTTGGAAATGAATGCAAGAGAGCATGTAACCCAAACTAAAATGGTAAAGCTTCCACCTATCGTGCACTCCGTCCAAAGTCAAATTAAAGCTCAAAAGTGACATGACTGGCCATTTTTTAAAAATGCACTTATATGGCTTGGGCTAGTTTTTGAGGCATGCTTCAAGATGAGGCGTACAGAGAAGGTTTCAAGGTTTAGGTTTTTTTGCAGGCTTATGCCTTGAGGCATTTTTCTGAGGCGGCTTTCCTTTGTTTCTATCTCTTTAATGTCTTGTCACTTGAAAAGGCCTAGTGTTTTTTGATAGACCCAAACATTTAACATGTGTCTGTACTAAACCCTGCCAAGTCTTGTTTCAATTAAAATGTTCATTTCAACCCTAACATTTACTTTCTATTACACATTTTAAGTGTCATTAAAAATTATTCATACAGCATACTTCAGAACCAAGAAGTCAACAGAGCAGATGGGTAACCAAGGAAAGATAAGAAAAATAAACAAGTAATGAAAGTGAATGATGATGATGAAGAAAAAGAATTTTAGGATTTTCATAGCAGAAGGGATGACGGTGACAAGACTACAACACATATCAATTCTTCCCAAGACCTTCAAGTCATGTGACTGTTTAGTGTTTGAGACTGTCTGGACTTCTATTCATAGTTGCAGATGGTGAGGAATGGCACGTGGGTCATGCGCCATACGGCGAGAAAACCCTCCATCGCCATGAACAGTCCTCCTGGTGACGACCACAAACATGGCATTGTGGCTGTTGCCATGTCAATTGCGTCATAACATTAGACAAATCTGAACATGTTTGCTTTGTAAATTTTGGGCTTTTGGCCCTGATAAATACTTAAATAATCTGCCAATCCATAATATTAATAAAACCCTAATAAGAAATTAATGTCAGCCCATTGTATTAACAAAAAACGTGATAAAATATAAATAAAGATACAAGTAACGTAAAAGACAAAGCTGCTGAAGTAAACGTAAAAGAAGGAGTCTGAAACTCTGAGCTGCACAGTTTAACCATGGAGCTGAGGATTTCTACTGCCTTTGCCAAGAAGCTTTGTAGAAACTCAAAGAAAAGAACAATGACTCTTGGTGTAAGTGTGTAACTACTGTGGGCATGTTAATAGAGGTGGAATTACTAGGTTAAAACAGCACTTGACCTGGAAGCACCACAACACAAAACCGTGTGAACCAGTCCCTACTGATAAGAAGGCTGAACTGCCGGCCTTAGTTTTCCAGGCAAGAAAAGGGAAAGATTACAGCCAAAAAATGAATGATTTGGTATACATTCGGCAGAGGATTCAGTCCAAGATAATGAGGAGCGTGATAATTCATGACGATTATGGCATAATCATCAATTCATCAAACAAAAACACGTTCACGTGAAACTTTTTTTAGGATATTATGTTTTTGGCACTAATTTTAACTATTATCATTTGCAATGGAGCCAAAGGCTCACCATTTTTTGGCTTGGGAATGTGATAGAATAACGCAAAAATGGCTCACTTAACTGTCCGCACTTCTTTAATATGCAGCAGTCAATCCATGCAATTTTCACTATCGATCATCCGGAAACAGTCTCTCTGTGCTTTAGTACGGAAATAAGACTACGCCTGTGTTTGCGTAATTGCGTTTGCTTGTGCTTATCAAAAGTGATTTATTTAAGAGATTATTGAAAAAGTGATTTTCAGTAAAAATAGATGGAGTTTGGAAATAGAAGAGTTTTTAGTTAAAAGGTAAATGTTGAAGTGTTTGATAAAAAATGATTATAATGTACTCCCTCCGTCCCACTAAGATCTTCCTGCTTTCCTTTTTTAGCCGTCCCAAAAAGAAATTCTCCTTTCCCTAAAAGGAAAGTTATCCTACATCAAACAGTACAAAACAGTGCCAAACAGTGTCAAAACAATGTCAAAACAGTAAAACTAGGTAAGTTTATTTCCTTAATAAGTTTATTTCCGTAATATGTGTGTAGGTCAAACTAGGAAGATCTTAGCGGGATGGAGGTAGTAATATTTTTGGGAACATAAAAAAATACGCTTGCAACATAAATCATACTACAAAAATACTCTGTGGTTATTTATTCGCAAAGCATGTTGTTTATTCACATAACATTAGCGCAGGCACATCAATTTTAATAGGAGTTTCATTTTAAATCAAAGGAAAAGGAGATCTGCAAGATAATTTGTTAAAAGGAGAACTGTATTTATTCACAATCATCACTTTAGGCATTGAAATTCCAGATTGAACTTATATGAATTATTAACTTTACATAGATATAGATTTTAGCTAATCTGTTCAGTTGGATTTGTTTCCTTCTTGCTGCAAGGGTATGCCTGTTCCTTATGTTTTTAGCTAATCTGTTCAGTTGGATTTGTTTCCTTCTTGCTGCAAGGGTATGCCCTTAGTGAGGTTTTGGTTTAGCCCCCCTCACTTCTTGTATGTTTATTTGCTTTTAATAAATTATTGTTTGTTTAAAAAAAAAATAGACATAGATTTTAGAAAAAGAGAGTTTCTAGACAAATGGATACAAAAAGGAATGGAGAAAATTAAGAACTAAAAAATAGAGAAAGATTGAGGGATGGCAATTGCATGGGGAGAAGACAAGCCTGTTTCCCTCTTTTGAGGTAGACGAGAAATACGAAAAAGGGTAAGATTGGGTTTGGGAGGAAAGTTGAGGATAAAACATTCCCCAAACTTAGAGTTATTAACAATAATTAATAATAATACCTAAAAAAGCAAGTAAAAGCATCATGTGATGTGCTTCGGCTTTTGGCCTAAAATCTCTTTAATTGAAGCTAAAATTTGTATTTGCAAACACCCATATGGCCATATCAGCTTTTCTTCCCAAAAAAGCCAAAAAGTGATTTCCGAAATCCATAGCAAACATAGCCTAAGTGCACCAACCCCCTTCCCTTACCCAAAGGCTCCCACCGTAGGTGGGAGCCTTTGCGGCACTGGGGTAATGATGACGACGATGACTTTAAACTATTTTAACTTCAAACGAAAATTAATATTCAACTTTTTTATCATGTTTTGCTGGTTGGGAGAAAAATTATAGCGTCTATATAATTCATAATTTTTGTTACTTTTTTGTCATTTGGTGATGCCATAAATGAGTGATCGCCATCACCATGAAAAAATGTCTCGGCATCATGGATGTCGCCATACACCATGGCAACTATGCTTCAATTATTGCATATCTTTAGTTGGTTATTACTAGTTTAACTATTTTTAAGTTTTATTTATAAAGTATGAGGCTTACGCCTCAATTCCCTTTAAGTCTTACCATGGTTGTCACGGCGTCGCTGACTAGGCGCCCTGGCGCTAGGGACTGCCCGCCAGCTTCACTCGCCTCGCCAGATGAAGAATAGTTGTGAACGGGCGTCGTCCAGGCGTCGTCTAGGCGCTGTTTTGGTGATGAAGTCCTTGCCTTATTGAAAAGTCGGATCCCTATGGCGCAGGCCCAGAACCCAAATAAAAATAGATTTAGGCTTTAATTAAAAGCAAGCCAAAGCCGTATAGCCAAACCAAGTCGCAGCCTCGCAGAGTCGCGGGAAGCAGACGAACTGGCAAGTATCACCCTTCTTCAGTCCCTCGCTCGCAGAAGCAGAGTAGCAGACCAGTTCCCAGTCCCCGATCTCTTCTTCTTGGCTTCAATTTTTTAATATTTTAATTAATTAAGTTGTGTGTGTATAATGAAAGGGTGTGTGTATATATATATATGTGTGTGTGTGTGTGTGTATTCCCAGCCTGTGAGTCTTCTATTTTATTACTCGTATATGTTATAAATTATAAAATAATAAACTATTAAAATAATCATAAAAACTACTCCGTAGTACATACTAATATATACTATGTATAATATACATATTTTGCATAGTACAATTATACATATATATATATATATATATATGATTATATAAACAATTATATATATAAATATATAATTATATTATAGTATATTATTCATGTATAGGCGACTAGTCGCCTAATTGTCGCCTAGGCGGGCGCCTTATAGCCTAGGCGATATGGCGGTTAGTTGGCGCCGCGACTCGACTTACCGCCGTGACAAGTATGAGTCTTACGCTTTACCTATTTTGAACAAATCGCCTCGATACCCAAACTAGCCTTTTTAAACCTTGTGACTGGCACAATAATAAATATCGACCAGCTAAAATAGGAGGGGCAGACGAAAACGAAAAATTATTGGGAGAATAAACAGTAAGGGGATGATGAAAAAGTCAGGATATTGCTATCTTTTATATGATAGTGGCTGCCAAAGCAAAAAGAAGGGCAAGTACTAATAATCTTTCGTAGTAGAAATACAAAGCAACTAAAAGAACAAACCAGCCAGGACAAGAAGCATTACAATTGAAGACAACGTGTCATGGGGACATGCTTTGATTCTTTTTCTTACCATCCAATTTCAAATGAGATGTGAGATACGTAATCTATAATACTCGAGATTTAATTGAAATTGATTAATAGTACTACTCATACCAACAAGATGCATCTCCTTTTAGAGGAGTAGTCTTGGGATGGGTGATCCCTAAAAAGTTTCTTAGGGCGCACATGAGTGGAGACAAAGTGCGCGCAAAAGGCTAGTGGCGGTTTGTGAGGACAATATTAGAGGTCTGGAGGGTGTGTAGGAGTAATGATAAGAACAGAAAAAATAAAATCAACGGGGTGAACCGTTGCCCAGATAATCAACGATAAATAAATACCGTTGCCCAGAGCCAAAAGGCTAAACCAACTTTTATTCCAAGATTATCAAGAATGAAGCATACAAGGGGTATAAATAACCCTCTAGGTCTAATAAGAATAGGAATCCTAATTAAATTATTCTAGGAAACTAAATAGAATAGGAAACCTCTAGTTCTAATAGAACTCCTAATTAAA